ATACTATTTATTTTATTTAAATGGACCCGCATAGCGCCTAGGCATCCCAATTTATCTATTTATTTTAAAGTGTATAGCCGCACGGCTATACTCTACAAATAGAATATTTTAACAGTATAGCCGATCGGCTATTCTCTATAAATACCTTAATCTGATTTTCTCTCTTTTAATTACTTTCACTAATGTTTACTTAGTGAATGATTAGTATTTAAGAATTGTATTAAATTCAAAATGTTTAAAAACTAAATACTATTTATTAAGTAATATCATTTATGATTTTAATTAAAATATTTAATACTAATTCTTCACTACTAATGAAAGTAATTAAATCCGGCTAAGATATCATTTAATTACTGAAAAGAAATTATTTTTTTATTAAAAAAAAAATTGTTGACCTGAAAATACTATGTTTATATTTATTTTTTGCAAAAAACCTCTCCCGACGAAATTTCGTCGGCATAGGTCTATGCCGGCAAAGTTTTGTCGGATTAGGTTTCTCGTGACGAAATGTCGTCGGCATAGGTGAATTTCGTCGGGAGAGGTTGTTTTGCCTTTTTTTTTCAAATTTTTTAAAATTTCAAAATATAAAATCAGTTTCTTTACTTTTGTTTTTGGGCCAACTTCTTTAATTTAATACATGTAATTAAGTAATACCTTAGCCTTTTTTTAATTACTTTAATTAGTTTTTATGTTTTAATTATTGTTTCTTTAGTGAATATTTAAATATTTTACTGATTTCATAAATTACTTGGTAAATAGTAATTAATTGTTTCGAATTATTTTGTGTACTTTTTTTTTTTTTGTTCTTTCATATTAAATAGTCATTAAAATACGTGCGTACGTGTACAATACGTGTATTATGTATTTGCTTTCATTATACCGAGTCTTTAGGACATATATGGAAAACGGAAGTAGTATTGAAAAATACATACGTACGTGTATAATACGAGTATTAAATGGGAGAATGCTAAATTATTTATACAGGTAATGACTATGGAAAAGTAAAAAATCAAAAGGGCACAATAGCTATACCTTGGTAATGGCCTAAACATAATGGATAATGCTCTAGACTAGTGTTATCGACAAAGGAAAAATTAGGGAGAAAAAATTTCAAAATACAAAAAAGCACCCATTAGATATTTAAAGAGTAGAGCCGCGCGGCTATACTATTTATTTTATTTAAATAGACCCGCATAGCGCCTAGGCATCCCAATTTATCTATTTATTTTAAAGTGTATAGCCGCGCGGCTATACGCTACAAATAGAATATTTTAACAGTATAGCCGATCGGCTATTCTCTATAAATACCTTAATCTGATTTTCTCTCTTTTAATTACTTTCACTAATGTTTACTTAGTGAATGATTAGTATTTAAGAATTGTATTAAATTCAAAATGTTTAAAAACTAAATACTATTTATTAAGTAATATCATTTGTGATTTTAATTAAAATATTTAATACTAATTCTTCACTACTAATGAAAGTAATTAAATCCGGCTAAGATATCATTTAATTACTGAAAAGAAATTATTTTTTTATTAAAAAAAAAATTGTTGACCTGAAAATACTATGTTTATATTTATTTTTTGCAAAAAACCTCTGCTGACGAAATTTCGTCGGCATAGGTCTTTGCCGGCAAAGTTTTGTCGGATTAGGTTTCTCGTGAAGAAATGTCGTCTGCATAGGTGAATTTCATCGGGAGAGGTTGTTTTGCCTTTTTTTTTCAAATTTTTTAAATTTTCAAAATATAAAATCAGTTTCTTTACTTTTGTTTTTGGGCCAACTTCTTTAATTTAATACATGTAATTAAGTAATACCTTAGCCTTTTTTTAATTACTTTAATTAGTTTTTATGTTTTAATTATTGTTTCTTTAGTGAATATTTAAATATTTTACTGATTTCGTAAATTACTTGGTAAATAGTAATTAATTGTTTCGAATTATTTTGTGTGCTTTTTTTTTTGTTCTTTCATATTAAATAGTTATTAAAATACGTGCGTACGTGTACAATACGTGTATTATACATTTGCTTTCATTATACCGAGTCTTTAGGACATATATGGAAAACGGAAGTAGTATTGAAAAATGCGTACGTACGTGTATAATACGAGTATTAAATAGGAGAATGCTAAAATTATTTATACGGGTAATGACTATGGAAAAGTAAAAAATCAAAAGGGGACAATAGCTATACCTTGGGACATAAGGAATTAAAAAATATTAAATAACTGATTCTGTCTTTTTTGAGTCAATAATCAACTTATCCAGTCTTTTTTTTGACTATGCTGAAAAAGCTGATGCCTGGATAAGCAAATGGAAGTAGAAATAGTGCTTGAAAGTTGAAACAAGGGAGGGGAGGGTTATGTTTCTTGTATATTTATCGGTATCACCATCATCATTGATCATTGTAAGAATGTAATCTTTTAAAGATTTGTTGCTCAGATGGATATTAATGATTTTCTTGTATCTATTATGCAAATCTTTATTTTCTTCTTTAGCTATATATCTTGACCACTGGCTAATTGGAAGCATAGCGGCTTATATAAATTGCAAAACATAGAGGGCTAATATACAAACCTATAAAATAAATACGTAATTCACATGTACAAGGCGCAATTTTATGGTCATCTACATATGCACTCCTCTGATTGATTAAGTTGATTCTTTCCCTTGATTCAGAGGATCAGTTGTTTAGCTTCCTTTTAATTTGGATATATGAAATGATACCATACAAAAGACATGCCTAAGTTTAATTGATAATTGATAATTGATAATGCTTTCTAAATTATCATCGATCATGCTCGTCTTAGATGCACGTACAGATGTTCCCCCAACATTTCAACTTACAAACTTTTTTTTCCTCCTTTTTCATGCAGGAAAAATGTTGTGGAAGCATATGTGCAATTACAGTCCTTGCGAAAGGCCGAGTATTCCCTGAAGTGATACAAGGCATCATAAACATGTCTTCCTTACAAGAACTTCAATGCCCCTCTGGCTCAGTGTAATTAGTTTTGAGTTTGTAATTTGCTCTTAGGTGGCAAAGTGGTTAGATCATTTGAGTGGCTTAGATTAACCAAAATGCAGGTAAATGCACGGAGCCTAAATGCAGAGGCTCGGGATCCACAAGGATGAACACACAACTTCAATGCATGGAAGAAAGAAACATGTTGCTCCAGAAAAAAAAGCCCCCCAAACTTCAACGTCCTCTTCAACGCCATTGAATTTTCTGAGCCTCTCGTTACATTGGACAACCCAATAATTCTCATCCCATGTTGCCTCAAACCACACCACTTTCACAACAAAATTCTCAACTTTGCCATCCAAACTATTCTCTGGATAATGTTACCTATACAAAATTGGTCCAGTACTCTACCAAAACTGGGTCTTTAGTCCATGGCAAGCTTGCTCATGCCCACATGGTAAAAACTTGTTTTAAGCCCTGCCTGTTTTTGTTGAACAATCTTCTTAATATGTACTGCAAGCATGGAGAATTGGACAGTGCATGCAATTTGTTTGATAAAATGCCGAAGCGTAATGTCATTTCATACAACTGCTTCATATCTGGATATACCCAGGTGGGTTTGTTTGATAAGGCAATGGGTGTGTTTAATGAGGCAAGAATGGCTGGTTTGAAACTTGATAAGTTTACCTATGCGGGTGCTTTGTGTGTGTGTGCGGTCAAACTTGTGACATTGAGCTAGGTAAGCTGGTTCATGGCTTAATAGTCCTTAGTGGGTCGGGCTCAGATGTTGTTTTGTCCAATTCTCTTATGGATATGTACTCAAAGTGCAGCCGGGTTGATCATGCAAGGATTTTGTTTGAGAATTCTGATAACTTGGATGATGTCTCATGGAATTCCTTGATTGCTAGTTATGCTCGAATTGGTGCTAACAAGGAAACATTGAGAACTCTGGTGAAAATGCATCAATGTGGTTTCAGCTTGAATACATATACAATTTAGGGTGTTTTAGTAGAATGAAATGTGCTTTTGATTTTCTGGTATTCAGAATGGATGTGTGTAGAATGAAATGTGCTTTTGATTCATTGACTGGTGATGCCAAATTGGTAAGTGCTTATATCCACAATGATGAAGTGGGATATGAAGTTATGAGCATTGGACAAGATGGGGATTGGAGAGCCTTGAAACACCCAAACCAAGGCTTGTTGAAGAAAAATGGCAAATGGGCAACAAGAAGGCAATTTTTTCTAACTGATGAGGTTCATGATGGGGTTTATTTTTGTTCTGAAATTATAACAGATGGGGAAGATTGGTGCTTGGAAGTCCAAACTCTCGATCCGTGGAACGAGTGCTTCATCACAACTACATTGCCCCAAGGAGTTTTCAATGGCTGCAAGAGAGTTTGGGTTTTCAACTGGAACCAACATATAGCTGTTGGAGATATTGTAGAGCAAGACCTTCATGTCTTGGTGCTAGAAGACTTGAAAGAGCAAAAATGGAGTGAAAATAAGATCATTGTGCCATTGAAAGTTTTGCAGCATCAGCCACTTTTGGATGATCAAGTTCTCATTCCTGTGAAGGCTGATTGTGATGAGCTCAAGCTGCGTTATAAGGGAGGGAAGACTCTCTTTTATGACATGAACAATGAGGTGATTAAGAAGGTGGTGTATAAATGGTTTGACACCGATCTTCTGGGATTTTATAAGCCAAGCCTTGTGAGTCTCAAGGGAATGAGACAAGACGAGAGGGTACGACTCAGAATGGGGATTGATTAGAGCAATTGCAATTAATTTGGTGGTTGTTTATGATTATGAAATCACATTTTTATTTTAAAGAAGTTTGTTTGAACCCTCAGTTGCGATGCATCCATCTTTGATACGCAAAATGCAAATTGGTTTGTTCCAGATTACTGCTCAAGTCTTTATACTCTGATGTGTGATTAAATTTTTTTAATTTGCCTTTAATATATTAGATTCTGTTTTGAAAGTTCACCCAAATAGCATCAAAATGAAAGTGGTCTCATAAACTGCCAAATTATGATGTAATTAGTCCGGTTTAGCCAAGCTTTGCAAGAACATACCAATTTGGGTTTTGCCGCCATCAGTTCTTGAATATACTGCATGCATTCTCTTATCATATATAGATGGCTTCACTAGAATTATTAAATCAAGTTTCATAATCTTAATAGAACAATGCTATATCACTCTACCCCTTTTTTTCTTTCTCCTAACTCACATACATGGCATTCCCGCATTGTTGTGTTCTGAATCGAGTGATGTGATCGGAAAAAAAAGAACCTAGATGCAGTGGCGAAGCCAGGATTTCATGTGTCTGGGGGCCTTTCACAAAATATAAATATTAAAAACTTCGAACTAGACATCAAAACATCAAAAATCATATTGTCTATATTGTCTATTCATTACAATCATAATTGTCCTCGACGAGTTTTCGTATTTTGAAATCATTGCATAACAACCTCGTCATCTATACTATTAAAAATGTCTTTCCCAATATAAGCAACCAAGCAATCATTCATCCACAAATCCCCCATTCGATTGCGTACCTTGCCCCTTAACCGATGCATCTCACTTTACACCCCCTGGCGTCACAAGAGAAGAAGAAACTGGAATCATTCCAATACTTATTCCTAATAAGTAAACATGTTGAACTCGTATACTTCATGGATTTTACGCTCATAACTTAAGGTGGACTTCTTTGCTTTATGGGTTTTAGGCCCAATCAGTAATGTCTACTTAAATATTCAATATTTGGGTGGATAAATTTACAATGAAAACTCGTTTTTTATATTTTGGTTGGATATTACCAATGATCCTCCATTTTATCTCATTTAAATGTTGTACTTATCCGGGTTTTACATTCAAAAATTTGCTAGTGTACACTTAATTTTTGTTGGCTTCTTGCAATTCTTTCTTGGCAAACAAATAAATAAAGTAAATAAAAGAAGGAAAAGCATCCAATATTATTTGCAGAAAGCTTTTTCTTTATTTTAAAGAAGAGAGAAAACAAAAACCATCAGAATTGTTGCGGAAGAAGGAATGACATATGAACCCTAATCTTATATGGGAAAAAGAAAACAATCACCAGATTCATGACAACTAACACAATTAGGTCCCAAAGAACCCAAATGATCAGAAGCATGAAACAAGAAGTTGAATCATAAAAAACAAAACTGTTACATCGGATTGAAAATCCTAATTAATTAATCCCCATTGTATCGACCTCAATACCCAACCAATTTCACAAAAGGAAAAATATCACTTTACGAAGGAATGGAATATAATAGCCCAACTAAGGTTAGAGAAAAGACTCAAAGAAATCAAAACCCATCTGAGAAACTCATAGAAATATCCAAATGCATACTTGATTAAATGACAGAGAAATCATAAATAATATCATGCCAAAAGCATATAGTAACAGCAACTTCAAGTTGAGAATCATATACATACCTCAACTCAATACCTAGCTATGCTTCTCGTCATCAGCAGTTGAAAGTCACCCAAGGTAGCTACATTCGAAATTCGGACCAGACCTTCTTAAGTCCTTCTTAGAAAAGAAGGTCCTGCCCCTAAGAAGACCTGGCCTGTACTTCAAATATTGCTAGCTTGGTGAGACACCTTGCTCCAGAATAGGGCTGCTAGCTTGGTGAGACACTTTGCCTCTTATATAGACTTAGGAAACCGACTCATTACTTAAGTTGGACTTTTTTCCTTCCTAGGTTTTAGGCCCAAAGAGTAGTTTCTAATCTATCACTTAAATAGTTTTTGTTTTGTTTTAATCAACTAAGCATTGGTTTTCTTTTTGAGAAAATTTTATTCTAAGATATTTTTAGACCTTGAGCAATGTCTTCTTGCAATAACAATAAAAATCTTAATATCACCACATAAAGTTAGAGACAACAACGATAAAAGCAAGTAAAAATATGATCAATCACACTCAAGCATGAAAGGTTGAACTTTTATAATGTAACCATAGTCTAATTTATCGATAATATCGACGAAATATCGAGGATATTATCGTTTCTTCAGTGCAAGGATATTTTGAAACGTATCCATACACATATTGTATAAATATCGATAATATCGGAAAATATTGATGTCGATAATTTCTCTCACACTTTAGCTATATTTGGCCAAAATATCGCTATAATATCGAGATGATGAAGACAACAAAATATTAGAAGAGTTATTTATACTAACACCCCCCTAAGGTTTCTTGTGTTTTCACAAAACCCCCTCAGGTCTCAAAAATTACATGAACATCCCTTCAAGTTTCAGTTTGTTTTCACAAAAGCCCTTTTCGTTGATTGTTTGTCCAAAAATTGATGATTTCATTGGAAAAAAAAACTTATGCAAATGAAAAAATTAACCTCAATGAAGTACATGCAATCTAATCTCAAAGGCAAACTTTGTCATTTTTTTTTGGATGAAAAAGGAAAACTTTGTCATTTGGAGAATTGTTTTGTATTAAATCATCAATCTTTGGATGAAAAATCAATTAAAAGGAGTTTTGTGAAAACAATTTAAAACCTCAGAGGGTCTTCTTGTAATTTCTAAAATCTCAAGGAGTTTTGTAAAAAGCCAAAACCCTCAGGAGGTTTCCTGAGATTTAGGGATTGAAGATGTAGGTTAGTTTCACCTTCTTTCTAGACATGGCTCTAAGAGAAAATGAAATGAAAAATGCAAAATAGTAAGAAGATGATGCATTTGCGAGTTTTCTTAAGAGGAGAGCCTATTCTATATATAAAGTAGCAATAGGGCAACCTAATGAATTCTTGGAGATTACGTTTTGAATGAGAATTAAATGCGGGGATACGTTTTTCTTTTTTCTTTTTTAATACAAACAGATATTATGGGAGGGGGGAATGAACATTCCACTCCAAATGCAGGAGATTTGGTATTTTATCATAATGGGAATGGGGGAAAAACCTAAATGGGAATGGGGATGAGAATGGCATACACACCTCCGATTTGACCCGTTACATACCTTTTCTAAAGACAAATGAACTTATAAATATACAGATGCATCGGCTATTGAATTGATTAATTTTGGGCATGTTTGGATAAAGGATGATTTGGGGTGTGGATTTGGAATTCAATCCCTAAATCCAAATTCAATTATTTGGGTCTGCATATTGGTTTTGGATTTGGGCCAAATCTATGTTGTTTTATTTCATGGCATCATCTTCTTTTAATCTGGTTTGGAGTATTTATTCCTTCAGACAAGGTCCTAGGTTCGAGTCCTAGTATCCATGTAGTGTGTGTGAGTTTAGTATACTATCGCCCCTCTCAATAGGAAAGGTCCTAAATGTTTTTTTTTTTTATTTATAAAGAAGAAGGGTAAAACACCCATCATAGGAGATCCTAACATGTTACCTTAGCCAAATCAATATGTTCCTCTAGGCGAATCTTTACATGTTGTTCACACTCATCTATCCCGTCATATAGATGCAAAACAAAATTCTCATACTTTACCTGAACTATTAAATTATGGTCTATTTCATCTATCTAAAGCTGAATTCTTGCCTATTTCACAAATTTGCTCTTGGCTTGCCTGTTTACTATTTAAAGCTAAGTCAAAATGCCCACGTCGCCGCAATGGCCACTAATCTAGCCCAATTCAACACATTTATTTATTGGGTTTAAAATAGTCCCAAACACTCACATCGAAAAAAATACAACAATAATATAGTGTTTAAATGTAGATGGTTCACCAACGGGTTTAGCCTAGTGAAAAGCCCCTTGACTTTCAAACCAGAGGTCTCAAGTTTGAACCCTCATGACATCTTAGTTGTATGTGTGTGTGTGTGTGAAACCCATCTCCCTGTAGTTTAGACTATCACTTGTACTAAAAAAGTTCAAATAGTGACAAAATTGAAACTGGGGTGCCAATGTGAAAGATAATTGGGAAGCATCTAATATTTAAAAGCATGAGCTTGACACAATTAGCTAGGGGTAACTGAAATGCAATGAGAAGTGTCTGTTTTTCAATGAACTTAGAGGCACTCTTTTATATTAGAAAAAATTTGAACCTCTGGCTTCCACCGTACTCCTTTCTGATTTATTAATGATAAGAAGCTTCATTGGTCAAAGCCAGTCGGTCCATCCATCCATGTCCATGATTAGAGTTAGAGCTTGCAGATTATGTGTATAAATACTCCCTAACTAACTTGCTATTAAAATTAATGAATTAACAATGCTAAAGAGACTTGCTAGTCAATATTTATTAAGCGATGATTTAAAGAAAATTAATAATAAGCGAATTGTTCTTGAGCGGCACGATGTCAACCCAGAATTTAATATGTAGGGCATAAAACAATCAGAGAAAAATTCGAACAATCAGAAATCTGTTTCTTGGAGAGGACGCATGACATTGACGACAACGTCAATTCGCACTCACACTTTTTTTGTTCTCCTTTGTGACCTAAAGCAGGAGGCCTCAACCCATATTTCCTTTGTTAGGCTTATGATCTATATATATAAAGCAAAAAGTAGAGAATGGCAAAATATTCAAAATACCAGAACTACCCAGAGGTTTATTTTGTACGTATAACACTTAAGAAATTGAATAGTATATATATTTATTAGTAGCTTTAAATTTTTTTAAGACTTTGCGCGACCAATATATAGTATTTCGTCGCGCAAAGTATACTCAAAAAATTTGGGCGGGTACCAAAAATGGGAATTTAAAAATAAAAAAAAATTACGACTTTGCACAACCAATATATAGTGTTTCGTCGGGCAAAGTATACTCTAAAAACTTGGGCGGACACCAAAAATGGGAATTTTAAAAAAAAATTACGACTTTGTGCGACCAATATATAATGTTTCGTCGCGC